GATGCCCCTGCTCCTTCAGTATTGATCAGCAGCATCCTCTTCCCCAATAGGTGATAAATTTATTAGCAACCAGCCAGGCTGCCCCAGCTTTAGGCAATTGTCTTCTTAAGAATTATAGTATGTATTCATCGAAGGATAATAAGACAAGGCAAGGAGTTAAATAATTTTGCCTATAATTTGCAGCTGTTTCATACAGACCTATGCTTCACAGAGAAAAGAATCTGCAGTTCTGATATTGTATAATGTCGCCTACTTAGCATAAGACATTGTGAATAATTTTTTTTTTACAAGATGCACTTTATTTATGAGCAGGTCCCTTCATAGAAAGAGCTTGTTAGGCTTAATGCTGATGAATGGAGACAGCACCATTCACACTTCCAGGTTATGGTCTGTCAGTGCTTTCATTATATGCACTAATTTACAAGGATTTATTTATCTTCTCACAAATGTAAAAATGTGCTCCAAGCGAAACATACTGTCTGAGCGTCTGAGCCCAATGTTTTTCTTGGTGGAATTGGGAAACGTGGCAACTCAAGCTGTTGTGTCTTCCCACCTCCACCCCCAACCTGCCCTGTCACACTTCCTAACCCCATGGTAATATAAAAAATCTATGTAGTTGTGCTTGCTGAAAATTGAATTCTGGTTAAAATTTAAATTTTTAAAATTTAAACCCTGGAATTGGCTTTCTTAATTCAATTTAAATCTTTCTCGTCCAAAGACCATGGCTTCAATTGTGTTTTTAAGTACTGATGAAAATGCTGTTGGTAAATGCTGAGTTGGAGCTGAGTTTTAAGCACTGATGAAAATGCTGAGTTGAAGCTCAGGTTTAGTTCTGGTGTTTCTCTCCCCACTACAGTGCCACCCTTATTACAGTGCCCCGTTTCCTTCCTTCCCTCCACCCTTTCTCCTCGTTTGCTTATAATTATCCTTTCTGATTCAAAGTCATAATTGCCTGTTTAAAACAAACAGCAAAACAAAAGAAAACATGATCAATAAACACATCAGCAGACATGAACATTGGAACAAATCATGTCCAGAACATTAGGTATCAAGGTGTGGAAATCCGGGTACAACACTATCAAGATATGAAAGTAAATTGAAGCTGCATATCTTGCTAACCCCAGATGATTTTGTGTGATCTGAAAGCACTTGCATCCCCATCTCTAAAGAATAAAGCTTGAAATATGCTGGCTATGTGTCACCTCCTCCCACTCAGTCTAACAAGCAGTAATAGATCATACTGCATCATTACCATGCCCGGGTTCTAACAATACTCATTATGGGAGGGAAAACCTCCTGCAGTGATGGACAAAAAGAATTTTCATCTTCCTGCCTGGGACTTCCAATTTTGTTTTTACCTCAGTGAAAATTAAATACCCTTTAAACCTCTACCAGTGAAGAGTTCGTCACATTGATTGTTTGGACAATTGGTTGGTTGGTTAGTTGGTGGGTTGAGAAGGAAAATGGGAGGAAACAAAAACACATCTCTATAAAATATGACTAGATACATTTATAAAGCACCTATCACAAATCCCTCAAAGCCTTTCTAGTATTTCTTTTACAACCCCAAACATAAGTGCTATGCAAGCGAAATGAATTAAAGGATCTTGAGGAAAAAAAACATGTTTGGAGTTTGGACCACAATAAAAGAAATTGTTACACAAATATATGAAAGGGGAATATTCTACAAACTGTCAGCAGAATAAACCCTGAAGGCAAATACTAAGTATTTAATACGCCCAGAATTATTTCAAAAGGCACTCATCTGTGAATTCAGCTGACATGACAGAGAAAGAGAGGTTCACAGAGTCTGGAAGCTCACCAAAAAATTAAACGTGAACAAACACATACGGTCCAATGTTATCTTCCCAGTCAGTATCAGTTCAAAATGAGCACTATGATGGAAATGAGTATAGTAGTCACAGAACAGAACTGTCGTCCCTGACGCCAGAGGAGAAATGTAATGATCTCCCAAATATCCTAGTTTCTCTGGGAATACATTTATTTCTCTATAACTTCTGTGAGCCTGTTCTAATTTTCAGATCAGATTCTCTACGTTTACTCCTTCCTAGTTACAACAACATATTTGGTAAAGTGGAGGGTCAATAAAAGCCAGTGAAATCCCCAGAGATATGGAGTGACAAAACAGCCACAACATTGAATTCAATGATCATGAAGTTGGTGCAGGACTGGACAATGTTTTTTTGGTTTTTTTTTCTCTTGTAATCATGCATAAGGTCACCATGAGTCAGATTCAACTCAACAACGATGAACAACAAAGTACCTACCACACTTGATTTTATTTGTAATACTTTTGACTTACTAAAGTTTTAGAGTAGTCCTTCTAGTCTTCGTTTCAGTGTACCAGATTTGGTGAACAAGTATATGCTCCTTCTTTGTCTAGCATAGTGGCATTCAGTACATGTTTGGTAAATTATTCATGATGTCATATACTTCAAGCACATCTTCTCTCAGCCTTTTTCTCTCCAAACTTGAACCTTGATCTTTGAGTCCATCCTCTTATGACAGCCAAATTTTAAGTTTCCTCAAATTATTGGTCTACCACAAGTTGCCATTTGCAACCAAACTAGATTCTAGACAGTCAGGAAATTGATTTTTCCAAAAGAAAAATCAGCATTTCCCTTTGGTTCATCCTCAGTCCACATATTGTGGAAATGAAAGAACTATTCCTGTGCCATCTTGATTTGACTAGTCCCAGTATGAGAAGCCTTTTAAAAAGCATCCTTAAAGGTTTTTATGCCCCTAAAAATTATAAAGGGTTTTATTGACATGGAATGCCATCCTGTTTGGATACTCTGGTTGGCTTGGAGAACTCACCAACACATAGATGGTTTCAAAGGCATTCAGGGAAAGTTAAATCGAATCTCTAACTTTTATAGCTGTTAAGGATTAATACTTCATGAGGAACATCAGGATTAATCAAGGTATACCATAAAGCAAAATCTGAATATTAACCTCCTGCCAACGAATTAGCTCATCTAAAAGCAGTTTATTAAGTTGGGTTTATAAACTGTCTTTAAGATGAGTTCACTCTCTGCCAGGAAAATAATTGTGTGTCTGTATGTGAGATAGATAGATAAATATAGAGAGATAAAAGAGTCCTAGATAGTGATAGCATACCTTCACAAAAAGAGTAGTTTCTTGGGACTTTAAAAGACATGTTTGTTAGCACAGATGCGCATAATTGACATACACTCAATAATTTCATCAGGCCTGAATAAAGAGGAAGGATCCCTGGTGGCACAATGGTTAAGTGTTCAGCTGCTAAGCAAAAAGTCAGCAGTTCGAATCCACCGGCCACTCCACAGGAGAAAAAGTGTGCTCCCCTAAAGATTACAGCTTAGGAAACCCTAAAGGAGCCTTCTACTCCTTCCAATATGGTCACTGTGAGTGAGAATCAAACAAACCTGACAGCACTCCCAACAGCAACAAAGAAAGGAGAGCTGAGAAAAGACGAAATTACAGACTGCTTTTAAAGTAATGCCGTACAGCTCTTTTCAAGAGCACTTTTAAAGCATCAAGGGAAGATGGAGTTGAAGCATCTGTTTGTCATATGTGTTTGATACTTTTTAAATGTATCATTTTATGAGCTACAACAACGTAGGCATTGAGTGACTTAACTTTCAGTTTGCCTAGGACCATCCTGATTTTAAAACTGAACCTCAGCTCAGTTCCAGGAAAACCAGGACAATAGATCATTTCAACTGGCTGTTGTTGGGTGCCGTAGAGTCAATTCCAACTCATAGTGACCCTATGTATGTCAAAGTAAAACTGCCTCATAGGCTTTTCTTGACCATAGTCAATCATTAAAGAAGCAGACTGCCAGATCTTTCTCCCAAAGAGCTCCCGTGTGAGTTTAAACCACCAACTTTATAATTAGCAGCCAAGAGCTTAATCTGTGCACCACCAGGGCACCTTCACTTTAGCTAGGTAAGGCAGATATTCTTTTCCCAGTTTTACCAGAGAAGGCTAAAATTTGGGGAGATGAATGACTCAAAGTTACACATCAATTGTAAGTGGTATGTTCAGTATTAGAACCCAGATTTCCTAACTGCTATACAATATACTTTCAAAGAAACAAGGCCATAATTACCACCGTGAGTTAAAATCCACGACGACAATATTAGTGGCTTTTATTTTTTTATAGAAGCTTAATTATTTCATTTTAACGTTATCATTATGCTCACCACCCATCTTTTAATACTTGAGTTATTGTTGCTGTTAGGTGCCTTCAGGTCAGTTCCGACTCCTAGAGACCCCATCTATGTACAACAGAATGTAACACTGCCTGGTCCTGTGCCATCCTCATAATTATTCTATGGTTGAGCCCATTGTTGCAGACACTGTGCACTGTGTCAATCCATCTGTCTAAGGGCTTCCTTTTTTTGTTGTTGTTGTTCCGATTACCCTCCACTACACCACTATAGTAAGGACTGGTCGCTTCTGATGACATGTCCAAAGTAAGCTAAGAGGGAGGAAAGAACCCACCTAGTTGATCTGATTATTGCAAATGCCATATTAACTGAATATAAATTAATGAAAACATTTGTAATGCTTTCCAAGTCAGCTCTGTCCTAATTCAACTCTGAAAATAAGCAGTGACTTGTGTCTCCTCACCTTAAAAGAAATGTAATATATGCCACAACACTTGCCCTTTCCCATTTATCTCCAAGAGGATTTTTGTTTGTTTCTGCTTGTGTGGGATAAACAAATATCAAGGAGGTGGAAAAGTAAAACTGGACAAAATGAAATTATTAGACTTGGCTTTATCTCTGTATGTTACTTTTTTATAATTTCTTCTCTATACACAAACAAGTGAATGTGTGTCTAAGCAAACCGCTCCTATTACTGCCCTGAGCAAAATTGTATCCATATGTCTTTAAAATGTCTTTCAATTTCTACGACTTCTTCAAAAATACTGATCTTAGTGCAAATGTGGCCCACTAGACTACTAATGCTCATTTGCTCTTTCCCAACAGGTATTACAGTTGATAGGCATGGATTCATTTACTTTGTGGATGGGACTATGATTCGGAAAATTGATGAGAATGCTGTAATCACAACTGTAATCGGCTCAAACGGTCTGACTTCCACACAGCCACTGAGCTGTGACTCAGGAATGGACATCACTCAGGTAAGCACCACCGATTCTCAAACGTTATCACCATTTGGCATCATGGAAATGGATTACAATTTTCTCATACAGAAATTAGGTAGAAAGGAAACCTGGTGGTGTATCTGTTATGACACCAGATAACAGAAGTTTTTCTTTTTGTAAGTTACTTTTTTCCTCTCAGTTGGGAGAAAATGGGGAGTTGGGACGAGAGTGGAATGTTGGCACAACAATTATGCTAAAACCTCCCAGATTTGAATCAATCCAATAGTAAGCCCAATTTCATTAATTGAATATTTTCTAAGATACGTTATTTACAAAAAATAAAGCAAGAACTCAAATATGGAACAGTACTGATTGCTAAAGGTCTTTTGAAAGCTTGTCTAATGAACATAACTTGCTATTCATGTCTATGTAAATTGCTATTGCAAGTCTGTTTGAAAAAGTTCTCTCTAGTAAAAATGACATTCCCTCTGAGATACACTTTGCATTTATCTAGAAAACCTTTTGCCAGTGAGAATAAAAGAGAAAGTTCAGTATAACTCTCCTCTGAGTACAAAATTCTGATTTTTACCACAATTCTACAAAATCAGTATTGGACATATAGAGAAATTATAGCGCATAGAGCACAGTCCCAGATCCCTGGAGATGCCTTTCCTAGTAGAAACAAGAGGCTGATACATAATATGAGGGAAATAGACTAGACAATCCTCAAAGGTGTTTCAAGGTCTACTATTGCAGGATTCTGAGTCCAGTGAAGTAGATTAAGAATCTTTTCAAACTAAAGTAGGGGTTGAGCGTTTTAGGAATGGTTAGGGTATCAGAGAGAGTGCCTTTGGCTGCAAGTAATAAAACAATTGTCGAAAGTGGTTCAAATCATAAGAGTTTACTGTCTCACATGATGAGATGCCCAGCTGTAAACAAAGATCCCAGCATATTTCCTCTGTGTCACATTGGCCAGAATTGAGTCACATCTCCATGCGTTAGCCAATCACTGGCAAAAGAGAAATAAGGTCAGCCCTCTGGAGCTGGGCCACTTGCCTGGTTTTTTGATCCAAAATCAAAGTCCTTTTAGCAACGAATAGCCTGCATAGTTAAAATCTCCCTGTTGTTACTGGTAGTGGTTGCACAACATGATGCATGTAATTGGTGTCACAGAATTGTACACATTAAAAAATGCCAAATTGGAAAATACTGTGTTATGTATATTCTACAACAATTTTTAAAAGATATTTCTATTACTTCATTCTCCGTACCACATGAAACATAGGCTAAGTAGAAATGTCCAATGAACGCATCACCTAGACACCTTGCTTTAGTCAATAGCTCTAATGTTCCCTCCTACCTTCACTCTCTATGCATACACATCTGGACACACCACTGAAGATGTGACCATTTGGGATTTCTTCTCTCTCTGCCCTGGTCTCAAACTCACAAGCTCAAGAAATGGACAAATATGTCAACTACAAAAATGAAACAAGAAACTGGAGGGCCCAGGAAAGCTGATATGAGTGAGCCGTTCTGATTAGAGATTTCAGTGGATCAAGTCCTAGAGAAGCATAACTTTCCAAGATGTAAAATCCTGCTGACAGCAGGAAAAAGGAATATTATTTATGGCAGTGAAGAAGAGTGTGAATGTGTTTATGTGGGGGAGGGGAGAGAGAAGATGCATACATATGATTCACTTATAGGATATTTTTAACTTAAAATAGGACATTAGTATTGCAATCAGTCAACTCTAAAAATCTCATTGGTTTCTGTGTGGAAACGTTATGCTGAAAAGAGACTTTTTTGGTCTAAATAAAGCAAACATAATATAATCCTCACCACCATGAAAAGAGGTCTTTTGTACCTGGTTCTTTCCAAGTCTTGATGGTGTTTTTTTGTCAGCTGCTCATGAGTTGGCCCCTGCCACACGGTGACCCCCGTGCACAATAAAAAAGAGCCATTGTGTTCCACAGGGGTTTCATTGGCTGTTTGTCAGAAGTATATCAATTGGCAGGCCCGTCTATCTTAATCTGGAAGCTCTGCAGAAACTTGTTCAGCATCATAGCACAGCATAAACCTCCACTGACAGTGGGGTGGTGGCTGTGCATGAGATGCTTTGGCTGGGAATTGAACCCACTTGTCTCTCATGGAAGGTGATAATCTTAACCGCTGATCTACCGATGCTACCTCATCCTTTTAAGGTGGGGATGTACAGCACAGCCCACTGAAAAAGAACACTGGTAACCAAAACGCAGAATCACATTTTCACTATGACTCGTCATTCTAAGCCTCGGTTTCCCTGAAGCCTCCTTCCTTTTTCTTTATGCAGCTTCACCTTTAGAAACATAGGTTTCTTTGAAGGGTGGGGTGACAAATGGTCGGGGGTGTTAGAAGCCTACAGGACTGATTGGGGCGGCGGGGGAAGCAGATTTCATGGCCAAATTATTTGACAACTGTCTCCACTGCTGTTCATGATTTCCTGTTCTGTGCTTGAGAACCTTCAAAGAATAACTAGAATTTTCAGCTCAGGCTAGAAGAGAAGATTTGAGTCCACACTGATCTCTACCTTAGTGTCCAAATGATCACCCCACACACACTTTATTAGGGGCCTTCTTCTGATCACTTCATTCCCCCAGTCCAGAATTACCTTCCCTGGTACAAGTCCCATTCCCCACCTTCTTCATATCTCACCCACCTCGATGGTTCTAGACCTCACTGTTGTCTCAGTCCCTTACAGAGATTTAGTGTAAACACTTACTATATACTTTGTTCTATGTTAGCAAACTGTGTGTCCAATTACTCTCCCAAAACATGCATAGTAAGTGCTTAAGACATACTTAATATACATACCCCTACCAAAAGGAAAGGAGCTCTGGTAGCGTACTAGTTACGAATCAGGCTGCTAATTTCAAGGTCAGCAGTTCGAAACTATCAGCTGTTCCTCAGGAGAAAGATGAGGCTTTCTGCTCCCATAAAGATTTACAGCCTCGGAAACCCTGTACAGGGTCGCTATGAGTCAGAACCGACTCCACGGCACAGAACCACCACCACCACCACCAAAAGGAAACATAGACTGCATGAAGGAGGGTAGTAAGATGAAGCCAGATAAGTAAGCAGAGGCCAGATAGTGAAGGACCTTAGAAGCATGATAGCATTTCAGTTTTATTCAGTGGATAATGGGGAGACATTAATAGTCTTAAGAAGGAAAATGCATTTTAAGAATAGTATTGTCCATGGAAATAGTTTTTTTCAGGGTCATTCTTACTGTAAGATGAGGAATCAATGTGAGGAGACATTGCTCTTAGGCTAGTCAAAGTAATACAGGTATGACAGGGACAAAACAGGATAATATATACATGATTGAGGAGCCCTAGTAGCATAGTGGATTACAAGCTGGGCTGCTAGCTGCAAAGTCAGTAGTCTGAGTCTACCAATCGCTCCATGGGAGAAAGAGGAGGCTTTCTGCTCCCATAAAGATTTACAGCCTCAGAATCACTATACAAGGTCGCTATGAGTTGGAACCAACTGGGTGGCACACAACCACCACCATCAGGTAAAGATTAGCACCTTTTCAAGAGACTTGGGTATACGTTAAAATGCTTTCTAATGCTTCTGTGTATGTTCAACTGATATTTGAGATACGCCACCGTGATGAGACTGACCATGAAGCTCATCTCTACACGGGTTCCATACATAGGCAAGCAATGATAATGACTGAGCTTAAAGTATCAGCGGTATGCACTGAGAAAAGTGAAATATTAGAGGTAAAATCAAAGAACTTGTTGACCGACTTAACTTCAGAATTAAGAAATGATGTGAATGGTGGTACCAGTCACTGAAATAATGATTACACCAAGAGAAATAGATTGTGGGATGATGGGTGTAGGACATGTTGAGCTTATGTGCTTATGTGGCATCCAGGTAAAGATATCTAGCAGACAGATGGCTATAGGTGGAGCACTTCAGGTCTGAAACAGAGATTGTTGTTGTTGTTAAGTGCCATCGAGTCGGTTCCGACCCATAGCGACCCTGTACAGGATTTCCAAGGGTGTAAATCTTTACGGGAGTAGAAAGCCTCATCTTTCTCCCGCGGAGCAGCTGGTAGTTTCGAACCGCTGACCTTAAGGTTCGCAGCCCGATT